AGAGAGAGAGACGAATCGTGCGAATACAATTGATCACAAAAAACTAAAAAACTTATTATATTATTGTATATTAAAAAATATGACACAATTGTCTCCTACCAAACAATAAGACCAACAATAAAAGCAAAACAAAACAATATAAGACACAAACACTAATGGTAAAAAATTATCGGATACACCGCATAATTGATAACATATACACAAACCTTCTTCAGCGGTACTGAAGTGTATGTCCGGACAGTTGGCACTAAAGCCCAGCTTATTCTCGGCGCTAAGCCGTAGGGTATAGGCTGTGACCGGTTTGAGGCCACGTATGGTATATGAGGTGTCGGTTCCCGGTATTGACTCCACTGTGTTATCGCCGGGAGGGGAGGATTGAGGGGAGGATTGCCAACCGTTCAGCGATTGTTTCATTTCCAGCCGATATTTAATGATAATAGCGTTGCCGGCGTACGGCTCCAGCCATGACAATAGGGCCGTACGACTAGTGACCTCGTTTACCATCACGTTTTCCGGTATATCCGGCGTCTCTGTATTTATGATGGCAACCATACAAACAATTAAGTTATTTAATTACCAAGTTTTTCATAAACTAGTATACTGCATGCTATTGTGTTTAAGTACCAAATAATTATATCTCACTTATAAATAGCTTATTAAAATCCTAATTACTTTTCACTTATGTAATATGTATTATGTAATTAGCAATTAATTAATAATTAAAATACAATAGAAATTACTTAATAATATTCACAAAAAGGGAATATTTCTACTGTAAAATCACCGGAAAATTACAACAAAATATTCAGAACTGTAATACTAACTACGAGTATGTGTTATATCATCTATTTGTTTAAACATCGTTGATTATGGTTTTAATATGGTGGTAATAGTTATATAAACTAAATTTGTTTTTAATTATTAATGTGTGCATATTATAACCTAGGCAAAATTAAAATAGGGAGGGGCATGACATTTTTATAAATCACCTTTTTAATCTATGAATTATAGTTAAAAACAATTAATGCTTTAATACAAAACAAAATATGGTGTTTATTTAAAAAACATTACATAAACTTTCTAAAGAATAAACTGTAATTTAATTTATTGATTACTAATTCATTATGCCTTAAATAATTATATAAATTAATCTTGGAAAAAACAAAAGGCCAAATTTTTAATGTCATTGTTAAATAATTATAAAAAATCAATTTTTGGTATTTTAATTTATAAATCTAATCTACCTAGCTTAGTAATAATCACACTGTACAGCCATCACTTACCTTGCACAATCAGTTGATGATTAAACTCATCACGGCCATATTTATTACTGGCTATACAGGTGTAGAGAGCGCTGTCCCGACGGGTAGTGTCGAGTATATGTATCCTCAGCCACACGGCGTCTACACCTGACGTCTCGTTACGGATCACTTGATACCGGTTTTCGACGCCGGCGTCAAACGGCTGGCCATCTCTGGTTAGGGCGACGGCTATCGGCCGCTCGCCATATGATAGGCACTCAATCCACACGTCCTGTCCTTTGGTGACGGTTTGCGAACCGAATTTGCTCTTGAAATGAGCCCCAACTGTATGGGCCCGGAATGGGTGTAAAACAATTATTAATAACTAATTTTTATAATGAAATGTTAATTAACAATATTGTATTTTGCAAATGAATTATAATTCTTGTTTATACAATTTCATTTATTTGTATTATAAAAGTTAATTAAATCCTTTTATACCTTCTATACCATATGTAACATGCGCAGCTAATTTAGCTAGAGCATAATACGAGATTATTAATGTATACAGTTTTGTTCAAATGAGTTTCTCGTCCGTTTACCGTTAATTTTTACATTTTAAATAAAATAATTTTAAAACAATTATTTTATTTTTGATAAATTATTTTAAATGCATCTTGATAGGGTATGCTTTTTGATTCTGCAAAATAGTATATGGCGTTGCAAATGATAACCATATTTAATAATTTATAAATTTATTATATAACGCATCATGTTTCTATATTTATTATTACAGTTTTTGCGGTAAATCAATTTTACGTCATTCTATTGATACATAAAATGGCCTGTACCCTTTAAAGATCATTAATTATTTTTTCCAATAGAATTACCTAATCATTAATTGTTCAAAAATTTTAATGTCATTAGTATAAGCAATAAAAAATGTATTGTAAATTGTTGTCAAAATTATCAAGAGCATTTAAAGATGGCAATTAGAATAAATAAGAAAGTTATAATTATTTATGTGTGTTTTGCTTCCGTGTCCCATTAATATATATGGGTAAAAATATTCAACCAATAAATAATACTATATAATTAAACATTACAGTTTTAGTTTCACATGATTTAAATAAACATAAATTCATATACGTAAATAAACATACCGTGCACTTTGAGCTGGACTAATTTACTCAGGCCACTGCCCACACCATTATTAGCCTGACACAGGTAGACACCCTCGTCATCTGGGGTAACATCATTGATAGTCAAACTGCCATTTTCCATGGTGTGCATATGCGAATTTGAAATGACCGTGCGCAAATGTCCGTCGGCCAGTTCCGATCGCTCCCACCAAACCCTACTCTGACCGCTGGCCACACAATTCATAACCACTTTCTGGCCGACAATGGCCTCCGTATCCATCGGACTGATCACCCATTTAGGCGGCACTTTATGGTTAAAATTATATAAATTAAGTTAACTTGGTAGTTTTCTTAAAGTAATTTTATTACATGATTAAGTAATATAATAGGTTTGGTATGAATTCATGTGTTTATTTTAATTATATGCATGTAATTCTGTATCAAGAATAATGCTAATATTAAAATTAACTGCTAGTTGTTTATGTTAAATAATTTTTGCATGGTGATATAAAAATTGATTAATATTGCCTATTTAATTTATTGCAAATATTTTGTACCATTCAATTATCGTATATATGATCCACAAAACGGCTAA